AAATACTTTTTTTAGGTATTGTTTTTCAATGCAAGATTTTACGATATAATAACTTGATTTACATCACTATTAATGTTTACTTCTGAGGAATTTTCAATTAGTAAGAAATTTTCTTTAACCAAAGTTGAAGGACTATTTCTCCAAAAGCAACAAATTTATCATAACCGTTAATGTTTTTCTAAAAAGTTCATGAAAAGTACTATTATCATGAATTTTTCCCGGTTTTTAAGCCAATCGTTTAGCTTTTAGGTGGGGGGGACACCTCGAAGTAATTTTAAAGGACCTTTTCAACGATATCCCACACGATGGTGTAGACGATGAAAATAATCATCTCCAGCAGGGTTTATCACACGGAGGGAAGGTATATTAAACATTGAAGATAGGATATTTTACTGAAAGAAGACATCATTTAATTTTTAATAATAAGTAGAACTGCATTCACATTTTTAAAATAATCGCCTGAAACAACTAAATATAGGAGGAAAAGGAGACATTGGCAGAAATTGAACCTGGACAGTAAAATGATTGATTAACGGAAATCGGAAATGACCGTTCGATCGGTCCTAAATATTAAGAAAAATAAATCTCGGAGGCGATAACAGAACAATTTAAAAATAAAACTATAGTTATTAAAAAAGTTAACGTAACAAAGTTAACAAAAGCATTAATTTTTAATATGCTTATGCTATTATCAAAACGCGGCTCTGTAATAAATCAAGTAGGCTGTGATTTGCTATCGCGCGCCAAACCGCAGAAATTTTAAACCGGGGCATTTTGGTTATCTTATACTCCGTAATCATGCCATCTTACGTCTCATCTTGGAATTTCAGAGGCTGCACTACTGTTTTATAATTAATCAATTACCTGAGTTTATTCATTTAATTAATAAAACTTAAAGCATACGCTCGTGCTGTTCTACCTACCTAGATTCTTCATCGACCTATCCTTCCCTTCATCCGCTGTCCTGCTATCACCGTACTTCCTACTGCTACCTCTTACCAGAACCTGTCACCGCACGTCTGCTCTGGTACCTATCACGGCATCTACAAGGACGGTACATCGTTACACAACTCCCCATACTATCTCCATCTTACAACGTTAAACAACTCCTTATACTACTGCTAACCATCCACCATCTATTTGAGAAAAAGAACGCTTACGACCCTGAGTTTCCTTTTTTCCCCTATAAAAAGATTATAAGTAGGCACTGTACCAATTTTTAAGGTAATGATTATATTTCTACCTATCTTTATACTGTATTGACGTCGTATAACAGGCACCTAGTTTTTCCAAACCTTCTAACCACTTAGCAGCATTCGGTTGAAATTTTGAACCAATTGGTAATAGGTTGTAGTTTGCAATACTAGCTCTTATGGTGTCTGTTTACTGATATTCAATCAATCTTAGATGGGTCCCAAATTAAAGCACGTTGATGTACGTACAATATAAATATTATAGCTATTTGACATGGATATTAATAAAATTGTAATTAACTTCTCTAGTCCACTGACCGTGATAAGTTTATTACACAGTTTAAATTTAGACATCAAAATAAACTTTCGCTTTGTTTTTCGCATACTCGTTATGCTAATAATAATCGAATGGCCGAATACTATATCTACCGTTAGAGCAACGGTAGGTCGTGTGATATGATAATCCAGTCTCGTTCACATTTAGTATATAGTACTACTATTATTTATTTGTTACACTTTCAATATTTAAAATTAAATTCTCCATGGTATTTGTAAGTATATTAAGAAAGTTTTGATTTACTAATAATAAAGAAATAACTCCTCTGGTTTGGTCATATCGTTTCCTAAGAAAGAGCTAGAATGCAATACCGTAACTTTTAACAAAAAAACGGTAAATTTACTAAAATCAAAAAACCCGACTGCTTAATTATTACTTCAAATAAAAACTGAAAAAAAAAACAAGTTCGGTAGCCTAATAAATCTGTTACTTAAGGAACAAAACTACTTTAACAGTCGGGAGCCATGAGATAACAATGGATAAAAAAAAACAATAAGTATGTACATACTAGCGAATAATGGGTTATTATTTCTCATTATGTTAAGCAACCCTTTTAGTAACATGAAGTAATATCGTTTAAATAAACTTTGAAAACAGTATAGTTCTGAGTTTTCCTCAGGGCCAGGCTCCCACACAACAGACGTGGTTTTTTGGCCGTTTTTTGCTCGCTATTATAATTGGTGTCTAATATTTTATTGTATACATAATGGTACGGAACCTTTCGTGCGCAAATCCGACTCGCATTAGGACGGTTTTTTTATCTTCTTAATACCCATAATAAAACAAGAGATACTAATGAAACCACGGACGAATGGACGGACAGCAAGGATAAAGGCTTATTAATAGAGTACCGCTAATCACCCTTTTACTACGGAGAAAGTAGAGAACTAGCGAAATTCGCAAATATCATTTGGGAGAACAGGTTTAAGATGGGTAGCTATGTGATATCCAACGTGTTCTCAGCACATGAGTAAAAAAGGCAGAGATACTACAATAGCTCGGATAGGAGTGAGCACTGGCGCTTGTACGCTTCGAAACGTTACACTCACACACTTATGCTTCATACTTGATGGATGCCTATCCACAACCATGCGATTTTGTCGATTTTTAGGGTTCCGTACCTCAAAAGGAAAAAACGGATCCCTTATAGGATCACTTTGTTATCCGCCTATTTGTCTGTCAAGACCGTTTTTCTCAGGAACGCGTGGAGGTATCAAACTGGAATTCATATCTAATACTCATGTCTACTATCCCTTGGAGCTGTGAAAAAGTCAAACTTCTAAGCCAAAGCAATCAAAAGATACAGCCGTTTATGCCGCAAATTTCTGCAAATTTTCGAAACTCGCACGGGAATCAAAACCTGCAGGGTACTTCCCGTGAACTTAGAATCTTGAAATTTGGTACGAAGTAACTTCTTATGGTACAGATAAAGGAAAAAATGCGAAAACCGTATTTTTTTAGTTATATCATATAACAAAATATATTTTTGAAAATTTTAAAGTTACTACCTCTTTTCTTAAGAACGCGTAGAGGTATTAAATTAAGTGCGCGAGTCCGACTAAAACTTGGCCGGTTTTTTTTTTACCACGTATGACAAAACTGTAGAATTTATTGAGGCCAGCAGTATTGCCAGACCAATACGACCTGAAAAAAAGAGCATACTCCTTCCTTAAATGTATCGATGATCTATGGGTGCTCATATGCCCCCCTATTATTTAAAAAATAAAACACGCGCGCTCTTCATGAAAGCTTTGCCTCTGTGCCTTCTTTACTCATGAGCCGTAAGTCTCCAATACAAGGATATATAACGGGAGTTCTCGAATACCGTTAAACGCAGCTGCAAATATCTTGCACCAGTATTCGTATGTGTTTATTTTTATAAGTCTATCAAAGCAGCTATGTAGAGGAGATAATTTTTCCCTTTTATCTGCATTTACTATTGCAATAATCTACCTTGAATGCGATTTAAATTTTCAAAAGAGATCTCCCGTGGATGGGTTACTGATTTATTAAATCGATTAAATATAGTATAATGACCACCCAAAATAAATTACAAGACCTAACGCTGTCATTCTTAAAAACCGGACAAGTGCGAGTCTGACTCGCTCACCGAAGGTTCTATACAAATTGTAAGTGTGTTAAAATTAATCCAAATAAAAACTTTGACTCTCCCAATCCCTTTTTAGGAGGCAGTTTATGAAAACTAAAAATAACAAACTTTATAATTTATTTAGATGTGTATTCGTGCAAAGTTTCAAGTCTTTTAACTGAAATAATAAGAATTTTCATTCAATTTTTTATCGTCTATTTTAACCGAGAGTGTATTTTGAAAAATTATTACTTAGTGCACTTATTAGACACTAGAAGGTGAAAGGGGATAAAATCTAGCCTGTCCTTTTCTGGGTCTCAAACTATCATAGCCGAATTTCATCTAAATCGGTTCAATGGTAGATGTAACAGCGAGACACTTTCGTTTTGATAATATTAAGTGTGCGTTTTATTACGATTTTTTACGGAAAAGTACACACGAATTAAAGATGACCCCGTGATGATACGCGTTTAATCAGGAGTACACAACGCCGAATCCGTTTTAGCTTATATAGTATATATAGATGTAGTAAGACAGTTTCCTGACTGTTCTGTGCTTTAATAGACTTTTATTACTCATCTGCCCTATGAAGTTTATAGATGGCCTATTCTTTGCTTTCCTTGCTAATCCGGTATATGAGGTGTCGTTTTTTAGTAAACATTAATGAGTATGATTTTGGTTTAAGTATTTTGCGACAGCGACGGTAAGCCAACGACAAAGTTCAACAAAATCAGATAAAAGCTCTATATCTAGCTACATCTCACATGCGCGGTGTCAATTATCAAATCACTCCATTTCTAAGTATATAAACCGAATACACTAGCAAAAGATTAGCGTCATTTCACTTAACTTTATGTATAAATTTTAATTATATTTTGCGGGGAGGGTTTATGATCGTGAATTATGAAACACTCATATTCTATATATTAAAAATATGTATATTTCACATATTGTATTATTTTTTATGCTTAATCAGTCCCCACTTAAAATATATAAATATGAATTGTATGTATGTATGTATATATAGAGGTACATTTAAAGAAAAAAAATTATAAGGTACTGAATGTACACCTATATATTCCCTTGAGAACGAATAAGATCTGTATTTTTTTGGTTTTGTTTCACTATGTTAGTGATTCAATCAGTATCTCATATATTCTTTTGTAATCACGTCTGTTCGTTTTTAAACCTTATTGTAATATGTGGATAGTCGTAATTGGCTTTCAAATGTGCTTTAAATAAATAAATTACCAACCCCTTTTTATTTATTAAAAGTATTGATAAATTCATCGTCAAAATAGAAAGTATATAATAGGTAGAAAGTAATTTTTATATCCCAATCCTGTTATTTTTGTTATTGACAATTTAAACTAAACAAAATGGATGAATCATTTTGACAAATTCGTATTCTTATCACGTTCTATAGTTTAAAGCCAGTGTTGAGTAACGGGGCTGTCAAGATTGGCTCGCATACTCAGTACACTACATAATAGTTCTCGTAAACATGGTTTAATGTGTTGACGTCTCAATTGCTTTTCTAAACACGCTATGGGCACGGGTCAGTGAACTGTTAATTCTAAAGTCAATATAATAGCCCTTTGCCGATCCAATTCGATATACGTATGTTAATAATAGAGAAGCTAACAAACAAGTCATGCGAAAAATGAAGGTTAAATTATAGTTACTGATACTCATAATAGTAGTAGAAAAAAAGGCTAGGTTTGATCCTATTCATCCAACAGATATCTTCTTTACATAATATTATATTATGAATAATTTAATGATAATCAAGTAAATAAAATATTTTTAAATTCGTTACATTTATAGACGACGTGTAGTACCTTATGCGTATCCTCCATTCAAATGCAATTAATAGCGATTTTACTTAGGCATAAACATCATGATCTTTTCAGTTGTCTGCTAAAGTTGGTATAACACTACCAATCATAATACAAAAGTTTTCAATTTGTTCTGTTCCACGAGTTCCACGGAACATAGGGATAAAAATTAGAGCCAACAAGATGAAGCCAAGAAGATATGTGAGAATTTTATGTCGGGGGTTAGTTTTAGCTCGAATTCCATCAAAAGAAAATGAATTTATTTATTTGTCTTGTAAAACAACAAATATTCATTATATAACACAATATAAATAGAATGATCTTCTTTATAAATATTCTTAATTAATTTCTTTAATACCTAATCAAAAAAAAAACTAAAGCGTACCAAAATAAGGATAATTGAAATGATTGATTGCGTTGTTCTGAGCAAAAGTTATGAACTTTTCACGCATTAAAAACTTTATTATGCATTCTCCCCTTACCTCAACGAAACACAAAATATTGCTGATTTTTTTATATAAGTAACATTACGCGAATAAACTTTACAAACACAGCAAGTATTACTACAAACGCAAAAGAGTCTACATATTTTAGTTTGACAAATGGGTTAATTAATAATTTAATACTTTATCTTTATAACATGTTTGAAAATGGTAGGAAGTCAATAGTAAGTTCACGAGTACAAAGTGTTCTTTAATTCTTTATTGAACATGAAATGAATTTTTGCTGTAAAAAAGTTGTAACTACCTAAATGGAATAAGTACAAATAAAAAACTAACACAGCTAAGACATGTACGCTATGCTCATATGAAAACTACATTTAGACATCTGCGAGTGAGCGTTAATTAAGCTAACGGCAAAGATAAAAAATATTACCGATGTTTTTAGAGTAGTTTGATTCGGATGAGCTTGAGGGATGTTGGTCATCATGTCAATAGCGGTACTTTTGAGAGCGATTTCGATGCGGTCTGCGTATGCGCATCCAGTCTACATCAGCCGGTCTCAATACGTGGACGGACACTGCATAATATTTTACATTTTATCCTTCGACCTTAAAAGAAAATATTTATGAAAATCGGTGAAATCACTCAGGTAAAGCATAAATCAGGAATAACCATAATTTTATAACTTTTAAAAAGCGAAATGAATATTACATGTTTATTTCTGTTTTTTAGGAAAATGAAAAGTTTCAAAGAGACCACTTTAGTCTTAATTTTAATGACATTACTTTTTATAAACGGTTACAAGTCCGAGGAAGACGATTATATAACCGTTGAAAATGTACCGCGGGGACAAAGAATACTGTGGCCGTATCCTGTAGACTATAAAGCCGAATCAGAGGAATCGCTTCCGTATGTGTCCAAAGATGATGATAAAGATGAAGATGAACACAATCAAGACGACCAGAGTGATATGAAGAGGAAGGGCCGGTTCCTCCTCTGGTCGTACCCTCAGAGTCCGATTGTCAATATGATGATGAAAACCGTTGCAGTTAACTATTCGCCAACGAACCCAAATGATCCGTTTGATTTTCTTCGGGACTCCTATCCGTTACCAAAAGGTAAGTGAACCACCTTCATTTAAACAAACAAAGCCTAAAAAATATTTTATGATTTAGTAACAAATTCTCTACGATTACTACGTATTAAATTTATTTATGTTTGCATACAGTAAAAATGTATAGACTAAAGTTGAACCTGGGCTAAAAATGATGCTGTCACTTTGATTTGCTAAAAAAAATACAAAGACAACATTGGGTTTAAATTAAAACTAATGTTTTGTAGTAACCCCCTTACTTACATTTTACACCGTTGTGACTAAAATCTGTATATCAATTATTAAATTTGGATTTATTATTGAATCTGGAATTCGTACTTTTTTATGTATGCTACTTTCTACGAATAATAAAAACTAGCTTTGCCCCGCGGTGTTACCCGCGGTTTACTAGGGATATTTTGCACAGTAAAACAGAGCCTATGCGTAAATCCAGGGTGTCAGCTAACTCCATACCAAATATTAAAATCGCTGCCGCCGTTTAGACGCGAAGAAGTAAAAAACATACACACTCACAAGCTTTCGCCTTTATAATATTTATTAGTAAATCACACAAAATGGCTGAACAAATTTTAATGAAATTTGGTACACATAGATATAGTTCATGACCGGGAATGAGACATAGGATACTTTTTATCCTGGAAAATTGTGAGGTTTCTGAGGGATTCCACACGAACTAAATTTAACGCGGACGAAGTCACGGCGGCCGCTAATTATTTTATAATCGTAGGTATGCTTTCAAACTGTTTATTTGCTCTACGGTTTAAAAAAATATCTAAAAATTTTAAATTGAATCGTCAATGTGGTAACGAACTTTTCAAAGTATTTTTTTAGCATTTGGAAAATGTACCGGGCTCACGGCTTCATAAACATATGTTTATAATGCCGTGAGCCCGGTACATTTTCGATCGTTAGCACCCACCAATCTGCACTGGACCTGCACAGTGGGTCATGAAGACCTATGCCTCAGCAGTGGGAAGGTTGTTGATTAGCAATATAAATAGATAAAATGGAAATATGCTGGAGATTTAATTTATTATTGTTGTTTTTAATGTTAATTGAAAAATGGCTATTACCAATACTTTCATTTACACTCGGAGCAAAGACTTAATTAGGTTTATTATATTTTATTTATAAATTATTGTAGCACCACAAGTAAACATTAATTGAACCGATATCTAATCAGATTCTATAATGGCGACGTGTGCTTTGTCATGATTATATTTATTACTCATTGTTTCCATTTAACTATACATTGTTCGCAATGGGACACCCTTTAGGAAACAATTGAAGGCTTTCCCGTTAATTAGCCCTTATGAACGGTTTGTCCATTTCAGACTCTATGTATTTTCCAGATAAATATTGTGTTATATATTTATTTAATCGTTTAAGTACTTATATGAAAATTATATAAGAATGCGTGTAACAATAAAACTTGAAATTTTAATGGTAAAGGCAGCGAGTTTTCTGCTCGTAACAAAACGCTCATCTAAGAAGTTAGCCCTCACTATACAGGGAGGAAGTGTAATTTTTGCTGTTACTCTAATAAACATAGCACTAGCTTTTTTGGTTGGGTTGTGATTTTATTTTATTTTCCACACGATATGACAGGGAGACAGGGTTCAGACCAGCAGAATGAGGGTGACTGGAACAGCACACTTTTCTTTATAGCCTCATCCCTGTTTTCGACTGTACTCCACAACACTTATCGTTAGTCTACGTTTTGTAATATAGCGGTATGTGTACAAGGCACAGCAAGAGAACATGCTGTGCCTTGTAATTTGTATAAATAATTTGCATGCCAAAAAACTTGTTAAAAATATAAATGAGGTTTTTGGCGCGCTTTCATTGAGTTACTTTGGTGTTGTTATTTGAAATTTTCACAAAATGCCTTACATGCAGTTTAGGGGAACTCTTAGTAGGAATTTATAATAAATATTTTAATATTCAACTGACACATGATATTTTAATGCAGATAAGTAGTAATGATGATTTCATTGAAGCTTGGCTAGAAGGAATACCGACTCTGACGTATATCGTTCCAAATATATCGACAAACATTAGAATTTTACAATGTAATATAAAAAATGATTACTTATCCTTTATTTATCTTCTGTATTATAAAGAAGATTAGGTTTAATTGTAAGAAGGAAATATTTGTATATATGATTACTTGTTCACATACATAGACCGAAAATCTTAAGTCTAGAACTGATGTGAGTTTACATACTCATACCATTTAGAAACCTGTGATAAAATTCTCTTTGTATAGTATTCCATAATGGTAATAATATTGGCAGCATTTTAATATCTCTCTTTACACTGAGAAGTATTATTACAAAGCACAAATAAATGCTTTAAGAAATTTATAAGAATTACAATCATGTAACAACTTAAAAGAAAAGAAAATTTACAATACTTAGTTTAAAGTAGGCACGTAAAAAACAAAAACAAAAAACAATAGCCATCAAAAATATTTAATGTAAAACATAATAAGAAAAAGGTATTCAATAAAATACTATTAAATACATAATTCTTATAATTATACTTAAAAATCAAAAGTCTAACGTAAATACGACGACCTCCGTGGTCGAGTCGTTTATACGCCGGGTTTCATGGTGTCGCTGACTCGAGAAGTCCCGGGTTCGAATCCCGGTTTGTGTGATGAATACGAGCATTCGTACTCCAGTCATGGATATTTAATATATATTTCTATATAAATATACTAATATATGTACAGTATATGTATTCTATCCGTTACCCTAGCATCCCATAACACAAGCCTTACAGTGCTTACTTTCGGGCTAGGCTAATTGGTGTGTGTGTGTTGGAAATATTTATATATTTATAAATAATCTTTTAAAACGGAAGTCCGTAGCTGTGGGTTACTAGTCACTGCCATTTTGAGGCTAACCAATATTTTAAACAGCTAAACATTGTCTTTTTCAGGTAACACAAAACCGTTAGATGAGTACGATTATGTGATAGTTGGCGCTGGATCGGCTGGCTCTGTACTAGCTGCCCGCCTCACCGAAGACAAACCAAAAGCTAATGTACTGGTGATCGAAGCTGGTAAACCGGAGATGCTTCTGTCAGACATACCAGCACTGGCTCACTATTTGCAACTCACTGACTATGCTTGGCCGTATTCTATGGAGCACCAACCAGGTGTTTGTTTGGGTAAGATTAACATACCTACTTAACTGCCCTACTCCCGTGCCCTACTCGTGCATATTAAGTTTAACTGAAGTGAAAAGTGGCTAGAGTGAACAGGCATCTTCTAGGCAGGCGTGTACCATCCTAGGGCTCATCATCGCTACATATCAGGCGAGATTGTGGACAAACGCCTTGCCTATTATGCATTAAAAAAACTTCACCAATAACGGTAACGGTTTCATCTAACACAGTGTTTACTTACATGATTAAGTTTAATTAAAGAAATAATGGTAATTTTTTCACGTGTTTTTTACTCAGTACAGTTTTGGTGTAATAAGCATGGATACCGGTTTTCAGTAATATCGAAAAACCGGAAATACCGGGCTAAAATTAGAAATAAAAAACTTAATTAAAAATAATTTTAAAATACCGGTTTTTCGGTAACATTTATACTTACATTTTCAAAGACGTCTTTCGATTAAAATTATTTGCCACTATCTCCACAGTCTTGTGATTTCGTGAATAAAATTATTACTGATGATTACTGCCCGGTATAGTCTCGCGTGCTAGTGATAATCATACAATAATACGTAACGAGGTGGCGCATCATTTTGGTGAAATGGTTGCAATCATAAGGTTTTTTAACCATTTTGAAAAAAAGTTGTAAGCGACACTTTAAGTCCTTGAGCTTGTTACGGCATGGAAAAAACTAATTTAGTTACTAAAAGTTAAGTCTAGCCATAAGTTCTGCTAAAAATGAAAATGCATTTTTAATGAAGTAATGCAATATTATTAAAATTTCTCTTCTTCTTAGCCGGTACGCTCTTGACAGAGCGGTCGTGATCGCTATGAACTTGTAGTATTATTGGAGGGGGCAGATGTGATGCGCTTCACTATGTTTCGCCATTGCTGCCTGCTAGAGGCTGCCAACGGCTGACTTGATCTGGTCAGTCCATCGCGTGGGTGTCCTTGCGCGCGGTCTAGTACCTTCCACCTTTCCTTGGACGACAAGGCGTTCTATGGATAGGTTGTCACGCCGAGAAACGTGTCCGAAAATTTATACCTACATATTTATTAGACTCAGCAAAAAATAAAAAAATATTCTATTATATTCGAAATTGCCACCTTTGCCTTTTATACAGGATTTTCTCTGTAGTAAAGTATCTGTTTAACTACGAATCTATAGATTTACGCACTGTATCCAAGGGAAACTTCGCCACTGTTTGCTCCAAAGTTTTTCTAAGACACTCAATATTGCCGTGTCGTTTAGAGCAGGCCGTGTTCTTTAAAACTGACCATAATTGGAAGTCTAAAGGGTTAAGGTCTGGGCTAGATGACGGCCAGTCTTTAGCTTTTATAAAGTCCGTTGTCCGTGTTTTGGTTTCCGCCTCCCACTCCTCCCACATAGGCCACAAACACACTGTACAGCTAGCATACTTGCACACTAACTTAGCATTAGGCAGACACCGCACCCGTAGGATAAGAGTGCGAAGACCCGGTCTACACACGACACGCTATACTTCGGCGTTTTTCATCGCCCCCCACGACAACGGCTAACTAGAGCCGAGGTTCGAGTCTCAGAGACGCCCTCTAGTTGAGCCGACCCGCTCAGGTTCGAGTTGTCTAGAGGCTACGGACGGAGAGGAGACTCCCCCCGTGAAAAGATGCCATCCGCCTGGAATACCTCTAGAGCAGAGGTGCTCAAACTTGATCTGCTGGCGAATCTACCTCAATATTTTTAGACTACTTACGATCGACTCTGAGAGGCTACAAGTATATGTGATGCAGGGTTGACGTACATACACGATACACCCCACCTACCTAGGTAGTTTGTACCGTAGCATATATAGATATTAGCAGTCGATCGCGATCGACTGGTTGATCGCGATCGACCGTTTGAGCACCCCTAGAGACACTCGCCAATTCTCGGCTTGGGGTCCCTTTAGGATCTCGCCGTCCGCGAACCCGGTGAAGCTGTAAAGGTCATCTGCGACCTATATACACACTCAAAAAAAACGTTGGTTTCAAGCCAGGACTGGGTAGTTCGTGCCTTGTGACCAGGTGAAGAATCCAGCTGGAAAGTCCAGTCAGAGCCACAGTCACCTATAAAATCTTTAAGAAGATAGGCAATGGTATGAGCTTAAAGGTGTAATAAATACAGGCCTTTTAGGCAACAATTGCTTTAGCTCGGTTGTAGTGATGGTAGGAAAGAAAAAAAACACAAATTAAAAAGCTCAAAATAAAAGTCATCGAAGTGTGGGACAACCACTTAAGTAAAATCATAGACTAAATATAGATATGGTTTAAACTACATTTTATCTATATTCTATTCATATTAGAAAGAAGTCCGGATTAAAATTTAGTTACAGTTTTGAAATAAGGGAATGAATCTAGTCATAGTTCAGTACGTTTATGGACAAGAAGAATATTTTTATGATTAGTGAAATTAGCATAGTTATTTCAGCGCCAGTGGAAATAACCTCCACCTTACACAAAGACTGTATCCGAATAACTCAATTATTTAATAACATTCTCTTTAAGTAAGTTACCAGATCTCCACGGGATAGGAGGCTAGTTAGAGTAGGCAAAGGGCAAATGGTGAAAGCTTTTTATTATCATTAGTGTTCCTTAAACGAAAAAAAAATCATTTTTAATTAAAAAAGTAATTCCAAAATAGTTAAATCTATTACTGTCTTCTATACAAAATGTTTAATTGAATTTTTCATTGGAATCGTTCGTGTTGTATCTTTGAGTTTTCGTATTACACAGAATAAGAATTGTCTAGCTACTGAACTTTTTAAATTGAGAAATCTGAAGTAGAAGCTGCCATTAGGATTAATGCTTTTCTTTATCTCAGTACATTTATTATTAACAGTCAGAGCAGATCACAGTTATGTGACTGATATTATAAAAAATAACATTTATATAGGTATAACAGAAAAAACTATAAAAATTGCCTTGCAGCTTAAGAATGGCTAGAAAAATTTAGACGCGGCCCTCAGTCTGCTGCCTTTTTTTTGTGACGAGGGGAAATGCAGTTACGCACCATACCGTGACGCTGACTAGGCGCACCGCGTGTGTGGGACTCGCCGGCACGGGAAACAGTGCCGACCCTACTCAAGCAGGACCAGTGCGGAAGGCCACACTGATCCTACTCCACTAAAACCCCCCGGTACCCTCCTACGCCCATATGGGGGCGGTCTCGGGGCCGACGCACCTGCGTGCGCCACATCTCCAAGCACGCCCCGGGCAGGCCCGGCCCAACGAGTGGACCGGGCGACGCGCCTTAGGGGGACTGCGCTAAGGTACTAGGCAGTCCTCAGACGTGGTGGCCTATGCCGGAGCGGCACCTAGGACGCGCGGCTGGTCAGGCCGCGCCCAGACCACCTTAGGGCCGTCGAAGACCGGCAGTCACCGCTGCCTGCCTTCTTCGGCCCACCCGTCTACGCTGGAGAGGGGCGGCTAGAGCGTCCTCCTCCCGCTCCCTCTCCGCTGCCTCCTTCTGCGTCATCACCGATTCGCAGAAGGAGGCAGCAACCCTCCAGGCTCTCTCGCTACCAAGCATGGCTATTACCATACTTGGCAGTGTGAGGCCTCCTCCGCCGAACGCCGCGATCAGATCGCGGTGCTCATTTCGCCAGGCCGGGCACACGATCAATGTGTGCTCGGCCGTGTCGTCGGGAGAGGCGCAGTGATGACACCGCGGCGTCTCCTCCCGACGGGCGACTCGGTGCAGGTAGTGACCGAAGCACCCATGTCCGGTCAGTACCTGCACCAGGCGGTAGGTGAGGGTGCCCCGCTGGCGCCCTACCCACTCGTCCAACACCGGACGAATCGCCTTGATCGTCCGGTGGCCAGCGGCTGGGTTGGCGAGGCGCAGAGCCTCCCTCTGCGCCTCGGTGCGGACCCGTTCTATCTCCTCTAGAACGGGTCGCTCGCTCCGCTCTCTCGCCGCAACCCGGTGTTGATGCACCTGGGACAGTACCAGGGCATCAATCTCCCACGGGAGCATGCCTGCTAGGACGCAGGCAGCCCCGTGGCTGACCGTGCGGTAAGCCCGCACGGCCCGGGTCGCTATGACCCTCTGCGGTCTTTGCAGGAGGGCCCTCGTGCGGGACGAGAGGCACTCCGCCCAGACCGGGGCTCCGTACAGCGCCATCGACTTTATCACGGAGTGATAAAGCCGACGGCACTTCGCCTTGGGGAGGAGGCGACCGAGTCCGGCTGTGACGCCGCACAGCCGGGGAGCGAGGAGCTTGAAGTGCTCCTCCCAGCTCCATTGGGGGTCTAGGGTCAGGCCGAGATACTTGAGATGCATCTCGACCGGAACCCACATCCCCTCTACCCGGCACGGAGCCCCGGCGGGGTCCTGCATCTGGGACCGTGGAAGGCCATGGCCCTCGTCTTTTCGAGGGCCACTTCTAGTCCCAGGAGGCGGATGCGTCGGACGACCATGGAGGTACCGACCGACGCAAGGTGGACCGCCTCCTCCCACCCCCTCGCTCTCGCTGCTACAAGGGTGTCGTCCGCAAAGCAGACGACATCCATGCGCGGCAGGAGCTCACCCCGCAGGACCCAGTTGTATCCCAGGTTCCATAGGAGGGGACCTAATACGGAACCCTGGGGTACGCCTGCCTTCACTGGCCACGACTGGACGCGGCCCTCCGTATCCTCGTACAGTACTGACCTGTCTCGCAGGTAGTCCCGGACGAGGGTGCGGAGGTAGAGTGGCACTCGGTGGAACTCGAGCGCCGCCTCTATGCACTCGTGGGGGATGCTGTTGAACGCGTTCGCGATGTCCAAGGACACCGCTATCACCACCTCCCCCCGAGCTGTGGCCGCCTCAGTCCACCTCTTGAGACGGCCAACCGCGTCCATCGTGGACCGGCCGGTTCGGAAGCCGTACTGGCATTCCGCCAGGTCCGGCCCCTCACCCTCAATGTGCTCGATGATCCGGGAGGCGAGAATCTTCTCAAAAGCCTTCCCGGACTCATCGAGCAACACCACCGGCCGGTAGCCCGCTG